GAAGAGGGGAGACCCAGATTAATCAGAAATCAGGAAAATAATTAGAGTACAATATTACAGAAGCTAAGGTAAGCATCAAGGAAGGAAAGTTTCTTAACAGAACATTTGTACACATAAAACTGCTATAGTTAAATTCAGACTGTGAAGATTCAAATAATAAGAGGTTGGTAATGAATTAAAGAAAGCAAGCCTTAGCTACTCTTTTCAGATGTAAAACAATAAACTTTTTTAAAAAGGGAAAAAGAATGAAGTAGTAGTTTGATTTATTTTCCTTAGAAGTGAATAGATTATGCTTGTGTGCTGAAGAAATTATTGCATTCATTGAATTACTATAGAATTGATTGTATCAGACTATTTTCAGTCAAGTGGAAGATAATACCATTGTATTTGAGAAGATGAGGATACCAGCATATTAGGGGTGGGGCAGATATTAGCAAGATGGGTTAACCAAGGCAGAAAGCTATCTCTTATATAAAAAAAGTCCAGGGGTAGGCAGACAAAAGCTTGTCTGCTGGCTCAATACTTGTGGCTCCGAGTCATGAGGGACCTTAGCTTATTCTGTTTTTGCTTCACTGTCCCAGTTTGGGCTTCTGTCTTCATGGTTTAAGATAGCTACTGGATCTCCCTTTATCACATCCGCATGTGCTGGTTAGGCAGAAGGAAATCAGAAGGGCAAAGGCTCCTTGGAGTTGCACTGAATCTCTTTAAGCAGCCTTCCAAGAAGTATTGCACACAAGTTTTGCTTTCATGTAAATTTAGCCAGAATTTATATTAGCTACCCTATCCATGAAGGAAGCTGAGAAATGTAGCCTTCTTTCCCTCAGTGTGACCAGAGAAAAGTCAGAGTTCTCTTACTGAGAAGGAAGGGAAGATGACAGTGGTGCAGGTAATTCTCTGCCATAGACATGGTAAAAATTTGTGGTGAGGTCAACTATTTCAGTTTTGGCACTTTTTTAGCAGGACTGCTAATCAGGGAAAGAAAGTGCTTTGGGCATATGGATCAGGGAGGCAGTTACTAATAAAGTGAGCAGTTCTAAGGTACAAGCAAAATATTCCTGAAATCCTGATTTGGAGGTCCAGGGCTAATGGACTGAAAAAGAACAATGTGTTCTCAAGGGACTAGAGATCACGGTGAGAGTGAAGAAAGGATTAGGAAAGCGTAAAGATGGTGTCAAGGGAAGAGGAAATTTCAAGTTGACAGAAATAAGGTAGTTACAAGTGTTCACAGATTGAGATGTGGCTGTACTTAGCTAGAATGGAAAAACAGGTATTGCAGTTGATGATGTGTAGGAGTTACAGAAACAGGCTAGAAAAATCACTGTTGAGATCAAGAGTTGAAAGGAACACCATGCTGACACTCAAAAACCAAGATACTCATCAAGTCAACAGTGAACAGAGTGAGGATTGGTGTTCACCTGCAGCTGAGACGAGGTTGTTTAGATACCAAAGGGAAACAGTCATGGCAGAATTACTGAGTACTTGCTATGTGGCAATGAACACACTTTTTTAAAATATAGAAATGTTTCTATCGTATTTTGGAATTACTTCAGATGTGCATAAAAGTTGTGAAGACACAGTTTCTTCATTCTCTTCACCCAGGGTCCTTTAATGGTAATGTCTTACATAACCATGGTACATTGATTAAACTAGAAAATTAACGTTGGTACAATGTATTAAGTAAAATCTTTATTTGGATTCTAAAGTTTTCCACTAAAGCTCCTTAACTATTAGAGGATGCAGTCCAATGTACCATGTTGTATTTCGTCAACATACACTCTTACCAGTGACAGTGTTTCAGTCTCTGGTTTTGTTGACCTTAACACTTTAAAGAATACTCTTGGAATCCTGTGGATTGTTTCTGTTTGGGTTTGGCTGACATTTTCTCATTAGGCTGGGGTTGTGTTTCTGAGAAAACCACAGAACTGAAGTGTACTTGTCATAGCACCATATCAGGCAGAACATGCTCATGATTTATCATTGGTGATGTCAACCTTGATCACTTGGTAAGGATAGTGCTTGCCAGATTTGTAAAATAAAAACTTACTGGGGTTTTTTCCCCCCTTTTTGGTACTCTATGGCAGCAAGTTGCTAAGTTTAGCCCATACTCAAGGGGAAGGGGTATTAAGCTCCACCTATTGGAGGACATAATATCTACAAATATTTGGGATTCTTCTGTATCAAAGATTTGTCCTCCCACTCCAACTTCTTCATCATTTATTTATGTATGCAATAATTTCTTTATATCACAATGGATATTTTACTTTATTCTTTGGGTTGTAATCCAATGCTATCATACAATTTGTTGCTCAGATTATTCCAGTTTTGGCCATGGGAAACTCTTTTTACATAAATTATTTGAGCCCTTCCATAATCCAGTGTGGCAGGTACAACTGTTATCCTTATTTTATAGAGAAGAAAACTTGGTCAGAGAGAAAGAGAGTTTTCCAATGTTCATATCACCTATGTGCTGAGCCAGGAGTCTGCCTCTAGGCTGGGTGTGCTTAGCTTTGCTCTGTTCCTCTCAAGAGGAAAGGATGCTCCACAATGACAATCTGAGATAATGTCTTTGTATCTCCCCCTTTTTAGAGATAACAGATTTTGAAGGGACTCATCAAAAAGACAGTAGTTGCAGAATGAATGAGCTTCCAAAAGGAGAGTCTATAGAGGAAAAAATCATAAATGGTCAGAACTAAGCCTGTTGCCAAGTGGGAGGAGGGAAGGGTAGCTAACAAAGAAAAGCAAAGGAATAATAGTTTCAGAAAAACTAATATGGAAGCTAAGGGAAGAAAGTTCACTGGGGGTGCAATCAATTTGGCTGCCAGGCCATAGAGAATCTGCCAATGGTAAGAAGGAAGTTACATGAACTTCAACAAAGCAGTGTAATAGAAGGGCAGAAAACAAAACCAGATTTCAGGAGATCAAAAATTATTTTAGAAGAGGAGATGTAGTTTAATAAGAAAAGGGACTCAGGATTAAGTGATTTTCTTCCAGGACTGAAGGAGACCTGTACACAGGGAAGCCTATAGAGGAGAGAAAGGACTCTGGAGAAGTGAAATGGAGGAACTAAGTGCAGGAAATTGGAAAGGAAGGGTGGTAATGGTAGGGTTAGGAGAACCTCTCTTCCTTGGAGATGAGCCTAGGAGACTAAAGACGGTGGTATTGCTGAGGTGAAGGTACAGACACACAGGATGTGTATGGGTGTTTGATGGTCTCAATTTTATTAGTAAAACTGGAAGCAAGGACATCTGCAGACATTGGAAGAAATATCGAGAGATTATCAAGTATCTTGAGTAGTTAACATTCTCTGGGTGTGTTTGGTTGGCAGCCTTGGTGAAAAGAGAGTAAGTTGAAGTCATTCATGCCATTTGACTGAGTGAAAGCAGAGATCAGAAATACAATTATCTTGATTTTTGTTTTGATATTTTTAGATCAAACAGTTAAAATAACTTATGTAATTCTTACAGACTCCATCTTTCTAAAATGCTCAAAATTAAGTATGATGTTAACTTGCTACATTTTTATTAAGTTGTTGAGAAAAATATCTAATTGACTGTAAAGGATAAAACTAATGTAAAAAAAGAATTGTTACTAGAATGGAAACTATTTTTCTCAGGAATTTCCTTCAAGTAAGTCTAATTGCAGAATTCTTGGTGTTTTAACGCCAAAGGCTAAAAAAAACAACAATTTATGTTTGTTATAATTTGTGCTTGGATTAGAAAAATAAACGTGAGTTGTTTTATGGAATTTTAGACTGTTTAATGTGAAATAACTAATATCACTATATCTGTAACACTGATAATAGAAGGTTTAAGAGAACAGTATTTCAGGACCATTTTAACCTATGAAGTTACTTGGAGTGTGTTTTTTTAACATTCAGGTAAAGGACAAAATGTCAAGGAGCAAAACTTTGTAAGAAGTTTATGAGTTACTGCCTTAGTGTCTCCTTAAATATTGCGGACTGCTTTCACCTACCTAATACTACTACTATACATACCCTTTATATGGACCAGAAAGAATTTACATTAAAACATATTATTCATACTTGATTTTTATTACCATATATATTATTGTATACAATTCTGTTTGAGAGTATAAATCATACTTTAAACAAAAAATGTATGCATGGCATATGTAAGCAGTAACATTCTGAAGGAAAGGGAAAAGCCATGAAAACATTTACCTAAAAGTTAGTGATAACTGAAAACCATTAGTTTGTGCAGAGTAACGACTGAAAAGATTGACAATACATGGGAACACTGGTAATTCTTCAGGTACTGTGAAAACAACCCAGTACAGGAAAAGTTCAAATTAGACATATCCACCTCCTTTGAAGTACATATTATCTATAAATCCTCGACAGAACAATACACAAAGCATTCTTTTTTTGGCACTTAGCAATACAGACAAAGGTGTATTTGGTTTAATGTGATTTTATTATTCAGATAGATAAATTTTAGTTATATAGATAAAAATATACAATAAATTTTTAAGTGTATAATTGTTATATTCACAATTAAAAATGCCTATTTTTTCATGGAACAATTCAGTCAATAACATGTAGAAGAGACTAACAAAAATGGCTTATATGAAGACTTTTAATGAAAGGTGTGAATGTAAAAATGGAAATTAATCCAGGACACTGGTCTAAATCAGTGATACCTCATGCTGGAAACAAATTATGAAATGTTTTAGACAAATTTATTTTTCCAACACTTAAATTCTACAGTTTGATTCAATAATTTGACTGAAAATGCACAGAACTGGCAGATTATCTAAAGCCACTTTCATATACATTAATTGAAAAAAAATGCATTTTAACACTACATCTCAGGATTCTATCATGTTTGTTTTTATATACATGCTTTTCTGTAATACATTGCAAAACATGTCTATGCCCATTAGATGTCATATTTAAATAAAAGGACAAATGGTGGCACTTTTCCTTTAAATCACCTGAAGACAGAAAAGTTACTAGAGTGATTAATTTGTCTTACTGCTATTTGATTTCTTAAAAAGACACAGTGATAAAAAATATTTACAGCCTCAACAAATTATTTATGTGCATGTATAAGGTATGGACTATTTTCAAATGAAAGATTGAAAATGTTTTACAAATAGTTTGTTCATTACACAATGCACCGTTCTTTCATAATGACTTCGCACCAATTTTAACACTCCTCAAATATGAGAAAAACAAATAGTCTCCACTGTATTAAGAGTGAAATTTATAAAGTCAACATACTATATGTTGAAGCATTAAAGAATTTATATACACACTGAAATGGGTGCTTTAACTGAAGAGCTAGAAATAATAAACATGATTGTAGTAAAGGGCAGATTTTTCACATCGCAACATTCAACTACCATGGTGGAGAATCTCTTCTGAAGACACTTAAAATTTTAGTACTACTGTCCTTACTTCCAAATTATTATTATGTAAGTAGCATTTACTTTCAAAATTTTCAACATAAGGCACACAGCACATTTAAAGTCTGGAGGCAAGTAGATCATGTCATAAATAATGTGCAATCAATCATGATTTGCCCTCTACCTAAAGAAAGCAGGTGAGTAGTGCAGTTAAAACATGCCTGGATGAATAAAAAGGACTGAATTTAAGAAATACAAATAATATTAATTTAAAAAAGCCTATTTCATATAAAATATACAGCCTACAGTGTTTGTTATAGGTAGAAAAAATTGTGAGGCACTTACATTAACAATGAGGAGGAAAGCACTGAGACTCTTTTTATAAAAGCACCAGAGAAAAATAAAAGGAAATCCTTTTATATTTGGTGTACTGATATAAGCAATTCAAAGCATTTCATGTTATTCTGACAGAAATCATTTCAATAGAGAAAATTTCTTTTTTAAAAGTGTCCTGAAGTTCCCCTGAATAAGTTTTGTGTATTCTGTGGCACTCAGAATAGTGTGAAATGTAGAGGGTACCTTATTCCTCTCAGCTGCACACTATTTTAATGACTGTAGTATCTGTAATTTTCATACTCTTTAATAACTCTTAAGTGCAAACAACAATGCCTCCGTGTCTACTCTGATGTCTGACACGGACAGTTTTGTTATGCTACAATCAAACTAATCCAAACACCAAGGTGAAAACTAGAATTGGAATTACAGGAATCCACTGGATGTCAAATCAGGAAAAGGTGTGGCTTCTGATGGATGATGAAGGGGCTGAAGGTGTGTGGCAGGCTGAGTGTTACTTATGTTATTTAATTCAGCTCGATAGGTTTCATTTAAAACTCCTCCATTCTGAAACTGAGAACAAAAATAACAATGCAACTTATTAGAATCCATCTTTCAAATATCTTAAAAATACATTTTATCACATAATAGCTTAAAATCTTCATCATACATATTAACTTCAACTTCCTTTACTGCTATTGGTAAATTTTAAATCATTCAGTGAAAATAGACTGACCACATATTATGTATTAGTTGCACTTATGACCTTGTGGTTTCTCCATTAGATGGTACAGACGAGTGATACAACTGTCTCACTCCCAAATCTGGCATTTCATGAACGAATTGCCTTTGGTTTGGATCAGAGTTCTCATGAACTGCAGTTATATATTCTATATCACAAGTATATTTGCTTTGACCAGTTTTAAGATCTGGTACCTTCAAGATTACTAACAGGACTGCAGATGACCTAAGACTTCTCCAAGAGGCGAGATTTGCTAGAGGTTTCATAATACTCCAAAAATATTTTACCATGGGTAGGATTTCCTAAACCAATTTTTTATTTGTACTATGCCTTTTAATTAGTACCATTATAATTACAGAATTAAGTTACCGAATAAAATGCCTGCTGTCTTACAATGAAATTAGATTGCTATAAATGGTAACAAGGAGGAGCTTCAGAATGAATTCCAGGGATCATCTAGGACAAAGGCATTTGAAGAAAGCATCCCTATAGTGATTTTAACCCAATTTCAACATATATTTGAGCTGTGAAACCTGTATTTTTAAAAGGTCACACAGTCAAGAAAGACAAAGTATTTTAAACTGTATACTTTTAACTAACTTCACCTGGTAACTTAAGGCTGTATTCAAGTTGCTTTAGCCCTGGATTTCTTTCTACTTTATGATTTGGGTAAATGTATCAGTAGCATATAGGAAAGGTACTGACATACAGATATAGAACATGTCTAACTCATGTCTACACTGAAAGGGTTTATTCAGTTGATAAAACCTTTACCTTGCTTAAAAATGCCTGTGGGCCTGGCACTGCTGGGCTATACTGCATCTGGGCCACATGGCTGTGCTGAACTTCTGGTTGGCACTGGTACATCGACACAGCCCCGGCATAACATGTCTGAGGAGTTACTGTGGCTGACTGTGCATTTAGTCCGTGGTTGTGGTTTTCAGGAACTTGTAAACACCTGACAAAATCTTCTAAATTCGAAGTTGTAGGATATGGGACTGGTTCAAAATTCCCTATGGGAAAGTCTAACTGTGTATCCTTGGAATGTTGTGGTAACACAGATTGATTATAGGGAATAAAGTTCTGTGCATAAGGCAGGGTATCAATCTCAGCTTTGTAGGGAAACACCTGATTGGTCCCAGGTAAGTTGGAAAACACATTATACTGTTCTGGGTCTTGCTGAGGACAACTGAAAGGCACAGACTGGTTAGTGTTCCAATTGGCAAACATGCCGTTAACTTGCATATGCTTCATTTTCTGACACAGTTGCTGCTGCTCCCCTGCTGTGTGCTCCTGATGGCGCAGGAGCTGCTGTTCCTGCACCAGGCAGCTGGACGTCAGAGCCACGGTCTCCTGCTGTTGGTAACTTGAACACCCAAAAGTAGACTTACTTAAAGAATCTTGGACAAATGACAGGATTTCATCTGTTATGTCAATATCTCTAAAGTCATCCTCACCAGAAAAGTCAGTTCTAAAAAATTCCTCATTCTGTTGCATGTGTCTGATATCTTCAAAATCAATGCCTAGGTGTTTCATAATTCTGTACAGGTCACTGTTTTTATCTGGAGAGAGCTCTGTATGAGCTCCTGTGAGCGCTGGGTTCATTTCCTGAGACTGACCAATTTGCTCATGTTTCAGGATATTATCACTTCCCATTGCAGTGCAGTCACTCACAGATTCATTAAAAAAATTTCTTTCAAAAGGTGTGCTGCTACTTGAAGCAGGACAGAGATAGACAGACTCATCTTGCTGCATCATGGCAGCTAGGAGGGAACTGGAATTGAGTGTGTCCTTATTTAGAGTTGATTTGATAGCAGAATCACTCCCACTAGCACCACTTTTGGTTCTCACTGGGTCCATTACAGGAGGAGAAGGGCTGGTTATCTCATACAACACAGCTTCTCCAGTGGTAAACATAAAAGGCAACTTCACAGTTCGCTTTCGTAAATGCTCTGTTCCTTCTTCATCTCTAAAATGGTATACAAGAAAGTATGTATCAGGAAGAATTGTATCAAACATTTAAACTGATTTCTAAAATATATTCAGAAATATAAAGGGTAAAGGGCCAAGACAATCCTGAAGGAGAACACCACAAAAAAATCCTAAGAAAAGTTGCATTTATACTTAGATATCAAGATTATAAAGGCAGAATAATTAAGGCAATGAGAAATCGGTGCAAAAGTATAGTAGGCTAGTGGAACCATAGACACAATCCCCTGACTGAAATGCAGTGGGGAAAAAGATTAACTTAGTAAGTAATTTAAGCCCCATATAAAAATCTATACTCTAAGTAGAGAACACATTTGCAATACAAATATTTGACAAAAATACTCATTTCCAGAATAAAAAACAAAATCTTGCTTAACAATCATGCTAAAACAAAACATTGCTATATTTTTATTTTACAAATGGCACTAGCTTTTCATCATTCCTTGGTTTACTCAGGATAAAACCCTGGAGTTTTCTTTGGTTATTCTTTCTGTAGCTCTACATATTTAATTCAATAAAGTTTGTCAATTCTAACTTCTCAATGTGCTTCATCTATGCTGCCTCCTTTCTATACATATTATCTTTCCAATTTTTATGTCTAGAGTAAATTCTAAGTTATGTGAGGGGCTGTATAAACCAAAGTATTACTAAAATAAAAAAGAAAACAATATTAGTCTTTGTGCTTACGTTAGAGGTCTTTGAGTTGCAATGATATAATCTGGTCTTCCATTTTTGTAAACTAAGCGTGCATTAGACTGGACCCAGGCCCATCGATTATCTTTGGTAAGAAGCCTGAACACTATCATGCCACTCTCCCCAGTCTTAATCACTGAAATAAAATTACCAAAATCAAAATATTACAGAAAATCATTGAAGCAAAGATATTTCTGGATATATTTCATTTATCACCAAGGATGACAAATGCCTTGACAACTTTTAAACACAGCATAATAAAATGCATTGAAATAGTTCTTCAGAGTTATTTTTTCTATTAAGACTAAATTTATTATAGAAAAGGTTACAAGGAACATTAAGTAACACATGAAACTATGCAGGAAAAATAATTATTTTCATTTTTAAACATGAAACTATGCAGGAAAAATAATTATTTTCATTTTTAATATGGGAACCTTTCCTTAAAGTATATTTATTACCACAGACATCTGAATTAATAAATCTTCCATTGAAAATTTCTTAAGTAAAACTTGTACTAGAGTATAATATAAGGTCCTGAGGAACAACTTACTCCGGATATGATACTCAGCACAATAAAGCATATCAGCAGCATGAATAAATTGATACCCTGATCCTCTCATGCACAGTTCTGCTTCAGTGTAGCCTAAAACAATTTTTCCTCTGTTTAAAAAAAAAAGTAAAATTAAAATTCAGCATAAATGAAGTAACCACTGTTTAAGTTTATTGGTTACAGTCTACTTGTGCTATGTTTTACATGACATAATTTCACATTAGCAAGTAGAAACAACCACATTTATGTTAACTATTCTATTTTGCTTATGGCTGCAAATTGCAATTTTATATGATTTTCTTCTGAATAAAGACTATGGAAAATAGTATGGCTAAAGATGAATCTAACACTAGATTATGCAGGTAAAACAAAATCTTTAATGAAAATCTACAATGTTTAAGCTCCATTTTGAGGGGCAATCTTTCAAGCTGTCTGAATTCCCATGTTAGGAGAAAAGCAATTATGTTTTGATATGATATGAATGCTAATATCAGTCTACTTCATAATCATCTGACAGATACTGAATCTTACTAATTAATGAAAACATCATCTTTATGATACAGAAATTGTGGCAAGTACTTTATGATAAAATAAGATGACTTGTGGGCTTGACTGAATTATTTTAAAGGCTAAGAGCATGAAATAATAGCTAATCTAACAATATTCTATGCTATATGTTTTACATGCTAAGAGAGACTTACTGTAACATAATTTAAATTTGATAAAATAAAACTGAAAAATGTTTACTTACTTGGCATCACAACCAGTAGGTGTGAAGTCTAGTTTGTGTTTGGTTCTAAAGATGAAATTTTTGGTTCGAATTTCAAGGATGGATGGTGTTTGAAGTGGAGTAGCTACTGCAAACAAGGCCAACTGAGGTGGAAGTATTGACCCATCTTGCCCTTTCTTGTTCTGTCCATGAAGATACTTTAGCCTCCCTTGGAAATTCATAGCCTGAAAAAAAAAAACAACAGTTCATCTTTGTTTTTTAATGGTCACAACAAGAACACTGGTATCATTTTCTGAGCTTGCCAGTGCGCTATCATTCCCACCTAACATAGCACCAGGCACTCAAGATGTGTTTCTAGAATTGAGTAGAGATGAAGTCCTCAGTTAATTGCAAATATTTTATGAGCTATATAGCTCATAGTGTATTTCATAACTCATGGCAATTTTTTATACAGAAACAAAACATAATTGTAACAAAACACTAAAATGAACTATGAAATGACATAAGGAATGCAGAACTCTACTAAAAATACAGAATAATTTTGGAAGATGAGGAAACAAAGACAATTTAAACATGAACATGGTTAGATGCTTAAAACAGTATTAACCATGCCAAGGATGATTCTGACATCAATATGATAGCAGCACAAGGAAAAAGAGACTCAATGAAACAAAGTCCAACTCAGAAGTACACAATAATTGATCATCAGTAGTAGGAAAACCATCTCAGCACAATTCTAATTCTAGGTCAGCAAAATTATCTTCAGGAATAAACCAACAAAAATCACTCTTTGCTAATGTTTAAGATTTGATTGTTTCAAACTCCTAATAATTCACAAAGGTAATATGTAACATGCTTTGTATTCTCTTCTCCTGGGCCCAGCAGAGTGAGGATACAGACATTTGAGAGGAAAGACCATCTTTACTCTGAATATCCTTGCTAAGCTGCTCCCTGGTTATCCTATCAGATATTCAGATTTCACAGCAACATCTCATACCAGATCATGAATATACAACCATTTTTAGGCAGTTATTCTAACCAAGTGGAAAAGACCATAATAATTTTTTTATTTTAAATCTGTCAGGGATTAAATCCAAATGGGGTAAACATGTTACTGCTAGAGAGGGGCTACCTGGTTCTCTTTTACCTAAAAAATCCTAAAAGTAGGCAAAGTACAAGGTTCCATGTTATTTCACTCAGCATTTGTAACCGCATCCTAAAGAACAGAGAATTTGAGTAATGGAAGATACTAAAAAATCCAAAATAATGATATTAAAAAGTTACTTTTGCTTTATCCAATTATTTGATAAAGTAGACTTTTAAGACCAAACTCAAATTTAACCAAAGAAAGTTGGTTTCACCTTTTTATATTCTAAAACTTAATAGTAAATGCCAGTATAAGATTTGCACCTTACCAGAAAACCTGATGAATTATCTAGCAGACACCTTAGTCGGCATACGAAGCACCTCTCCATAAAAGAAGAGTTTTCTGAAGGAAGCTGGTCTGTGTTATAATAGACTGCTGGCTGTGGGAGGCCATTAGCTTCTGTGGAAATAATAGCAATACAAATTTTACAAATTTACTTGCCATTTTGCTATAAAATTGCCTGAGTAGCTGAAATCATTGTGAATTTCTAAACTGGAGTCTGTATTCTGAATACAAAAAAAATTTTTCAGAAGAGGAGCTAATGAAAAGAAACAAACTTATTGAAACTCACTTCTACTACATAGAACTTGCCTTGGTTTCATTTTTATTTCTATTGAGCTATCACTGCCAACAATTTCCATATTTTCTAATTTTTTTTTCTTTTTAACATTTTCACAGACATCTGAAAACACTGCTTCTTTGAGAAGTTTTTTTTATACCTACATGTGCTGGTTTGATTTTCAATCTGGTGCATTTTAAACACAGAACTCTCCACAGTCTAGTATCAACCTTGTAAATTCCTTCCCATCTTTTACAAAAGTATGACAGTTGTTTTTAAAAAATATATTACTGAGTATGGCAACACTTCCATACTTAAAATTCATCAGTGACTCTCATCTGTGAAAATGTTCCTTGGGCCTTCAGGCTTCTTGTAACCTGGTTCTTATCTATAGCTGCAGACTCAGGTCTTCTTACTTCTTCCCAGCCTTTACCATAGAGTGCAATGCCCTTGAAGGTTCTTTGGTTCCCTTCACAGAATTATATTAAAAAATCACTGATGTTGTCTTTTGGTAAGCATTCTTACCATCAATTCTTTGTCCAGAGTCTTGCAAAGGGTTTAAAGCCCAATGTAGCTGACGCTGAAATTCAGCTCGGTCTTCAGTATGGATAAGTTCATACACACTCTGATGTATGACATCAGACTAAAGAAAAAAGACACAAGAGAATATTTTTAAAGTATTGATTAAAAAATGTTGCTTACTAGAGTCAATTCAAAACCCAGCTTTATTAGTGGGTGCTTATTAATGATAATGAATGCAAAGTCAATGATCACAGAGCTCTCCAATCATGCAAGAAAGGAAAATCTGGAAAGAGACCAGAACTGTAACTGATAAACCAAAAATTATTCACCATTACTCCCCTACTCAACACTTTTCAGTCAAGGAGGTCACCTCCCCATCCCTTAATTGCAATAACTTAAGTTCTGCTTATTTATCCATTCATTAATCTTAGAAATCCTACTTCATTCATGAAACCCTATCTGAACATCCAGTCATCTTTAATATCTATTAAGTATCATGTATCTCCTTCATTGTTCCTTAATAATTTTCTTTACATTCAAATTTTACTTCTACTTAGGCTTCGTAAAACTGAGGGATTATACCTTTACTAGGTCAAAATCCTTCCTCCGTCTCACCTCTCAGAACTTAAACCAGTTTTTCTAACTTTTTTTCACAGCAATTAATGGTAAGAAATATATTTTCCATCTATTGTGTGTGTATACATACATATACAAAAAAAAAAGTTTCAAAAAACTCTTATGTAGTCTATTTTCTATTCTAAGGAACTAAATTGATTGGCTAATCTCTTTGATTTCTTAACTTATGAAGCACATTACTGAATAACAAGTAAGAAAAGTTATTAAGTTTCAAACAGGATTTTGCACAAACATTAGTATATTTTATTTAAAATTCAAAAAGACTGGAAGTTAGGCTTTGTGGCAATAGCCCATACTTTCTCTAGGTTAGTGTTCATACACACTCTGATGTATGACATCAGACTAAAGAAAAAAGACACAAGAGAATATTTTTAAAGTATTGATTAAAAAATGTTGCTTACTAGAGTCAATTCAAAACCCAGCTTTATTAGTGGGTGCTTATTAATGATAATGAATGCAAAGTCAATGATCACAGAGCTCTCCAATCATGCAAGAAAGGAAAATCTGGAAAGAGACCAGAACTGTAACTGATAAGCCAAAAATTATTCACCATTACTCCCCTACTCAACACTTTTCAGTCAAGGAGGTCACCTCCCCATCCCTTAATTGCAATAACTTAAGTTCTGCTTATTTATCCATTCATTAATCTTAGAAATCCTACTTCATTCATGAAACCCTATCTGAACATCCAGTCATCTTTAATATCTATTAAGTATCATGTATCTCCTTCATTGTTCCTTAATAATTTTCTTTACATTCAAATTTTACTTCTACTTAGGCTTCGTAAAACTGAGGGATTATACCTTTACTAGGTCAAAATCCTTCCTCCGTCTCACCTCTCAGAACTTAAACCAGTTTTTCTAACTTTTTTTCACAGCAATTAATGGTAAGAAATATATTTTCCATCTATTGTGTGTGTATACATACATATACAAAAAAAAAAGTTTCAAAAAACTCTTATGTAGTCTATTTTCTATTCTAAGGAACTAAATTGATTGGCTAATCTCTTTGATTTCTTAACTTATGAAGCACATTACTGAATAACAAGTAAGAAAAGTTATTAAGTTTCAAACAGGATTTTGCACAAACATTAGTATATTTTATTTAAAATTCAAAAAGACTGGAAGTTAGGCTTTGTGGCAATAGCCCATACTTTCTCTAGGTTAGCTTAAATACCATTTTCTTCAGGAAAGCTTCCATAATCCACCTAAAATCAGAATTAAAGATACATGACATAGTATTTTCTTTGTAACTTTATGTATCTCATTCACTTCATAGCTCATATGCCCTCAGGTATCCAAAACTAATTTGACAGCAAATATTCTCATCTGCCCCCATCCAAACCCCACCTGTTCCTTATATTTCTTACACATTTCTTATACAGAAACATTCCTTAATAAGTGAAAGAAGAAACATAATATCCATGAATCTCATAAACATTTAAGGAAATTATAATACAATAAATTACTAATAGTATGAAAATATATTAGCTGTAAGTAGATTTTTGTTCTACAGCATAGATTTTGGTATTTTATGTGTAGAAATTACCAATGGTGCCCCTAAAGTATAAGAAATATAAAAAGTAGAAATTTTCTAAAAAAAAAAAAAAATTTAGGTGACCTAAGAAAAATAGATTCGATTTACCTGCTGAAACCCTAGATAATCTTGTATTGTTGAAGAAGCATAAAAGACCAAAGCGTCTGTAGTGACAACCAGCACAAACCCATTCAGAGCCTACAAAGAAAAAAGTAATGAAATTAAGTCATGTGACTAAATAACAGTATTGTCACTCATAAATATTGACTGCAGTAAAGGCTGTTCCTTTTATTGATGAAAAATCTTCTCTTTAAAATGGTTAAAATTATTACACCTCACAGACATACCACATGCCCATGGAGAGGAATCTATTTAAAGCCTTTTGATTTGGCTAAGAAAAGCTCAGTGCTAAACTTAATGCTCAATCACAGTAACTTTAATAGAAAAGTGCTTTCATCCTCTTCCTCCTCATGCTTCAGAATGTGTTTTAAATACACTGTACATGTCTTTGAAAATAAACTGTATAAAGATCATTTACTATAACTCATAACTCTGTTTTTTAGAGGAGGATAGTTTGTAAAGACGCTGACTAGATCCTTAAGACAAATCTGATAGGAGTAAATCTTTGTGTAAAGACAGTTCAAGCACTGACACAATTTGTAATTTGGATAGTCTCAAAGTACTTTTTATTGGAAAATACATATAAATGGATTATATATAAAACATAAGGCATATGTAATACAAAATACACATGTAAAATAATAAATAGAAAATGTCCATTTTTACTAATATATTTTAGGTTTAAAGCTATCATTTTATATATGCTATTTCTATTTATTCCATCTGTACTACACTGCTTTTTCTTTCCATTTTGCCTGCTTTTGGCCAACTATTTTTATCATTCCTTTTTCTTCCCTTGTTTTAGTCTGGAAGCTATACTCTCTTGTCTATTCTTTTAGAGATTATTCAAGTCCACTGTTAATGTCGCTATACTCTTAGGTATCAAAAGTATTTAGATAACTTTAAACATTTGTTATTACATATTTTAATTCTATAACCCCCTACTATTTCCACTCAGTATGATATATTCTTTGCTATGTGATCATGTCTAAATGCTTCTGAGACTCTTCCTCATGCAAAAGGGGATATGGTAGGATTTAGTGTAAAAACATGCACTTTGGAGTCAGACAGATTTGGACTGGTTCCTGTCTCAGTCTCTTACTAGCTATGTGACTTTGATTATTTCCTCCTTCAAACTTTAGAGCCATCACTTGAAAAACAGTCATTTTATCAAGTGGATATGATGACTTTATCTCATCTAACTCAGTGCCTGGCATGGAACTGACAATTAATGTAAGACACTGTTACTATAAGGTTGTGGAAGTGAGCAAATGAAGATTCATATGATCATCCTTTATAATAGGTATCTATTATAAATAGGTATCTAAATGACAGTTATTAGTTTACTCAACACTTAATAAACTTACGAACCAAACAGGACACCTGCTAAGTACTGGGATTCAAAAATTAACAAGATTGATGCTCACACAGTGTGGTAGCTACCTTTTTATCAGACAAGGTACATGAAACACAGTGACTCCTTTTCACTAAAGTTCTTTTCACCTTCAAAATCTTTAATCTGTATTGTACTCCTGAGAAACTGATCACAAAGACAAAAATGGCACCTACTATTTAACAGCCACTTTTCTAAATATTTCGATATATTCAAATGGTTTAATTCCCTCAACAATCCATGGAGGTAGGAGCCATATTCCAGTTTAACAATCAAGGAGACTGAATTAAAGAACGTATAGTAACTCGCCCAAGCTTACACAGTTAGGAAAACGCTGCGCTAAGTGGTAACCTCAGTCTGGCTCTGTAGCCTCTCCCCTGACCTATGGTGACCTGCCACGTTTATCTGTGCTGCTCACCACAGCTGCATGACTGTGACTCTTTTCATTACAACTGGGCTGTAAGGTCCTTGATTTCATCGATTATACCTCATAATACCTGGCAATTCCCTAGGCTTATGAATGCTAAAGGCATCCACAGGGAACTTAAGTATTTAATGATTAACATCTTCAAAATGGAATATTCTTAAATTTTAGTTGGCAGTATACACCCATTTTTGCATTTTTTTCATCCTGAAAATATCTTCTTTCTAGAGAATAGTATCCACTGATTATATACATATTGTTTTGTAGAGTATCATGATTTTCCAAACAGTGAAATGAACTTAGTACTTCCCAATAAGCTCATTATGGCCACAGACACAAAGAATATCACCAAACCCTGTTAGACAAGTTAATTTTCAGAAGTAAAATTAAAGCCTTAAAAAATATATATGCATACCAATTTTAAGTACATCCCAATGATTTTAAATACCATATGGAACAAGGTTATTATGTGTACTGAATTACTATCTTAGTAAATTAACAGAAAGAATTAATATGATAATTACATATTAATAACAGATTATCATTCCTTAGTCTTAGTCACAAAGATCTGACCTACCTATGTGAAACTCATGTGATTCATTTAGTATTTAATATGAGAACATTGAAATTGATGCTGTTATTTATAATTTCAACTGCTAATTAAAAAATAAAGCTGCAGATTTTAATAAGCACAGTATTAAATAGCACCAGATATAACATGTTTAAGTATATGAAAATAAAGATCTGAAATAAGTAACAGGTACTGAAAAGATACAGAAAGTTATTATTAGTTTCATTGTTAATCCTTCTAAAATATTAATAAACTTAAGCTCAGCCAGAAAGTAAATATTTTCAATGTTTTTTAATTAAAAAATTTTGTAACATTTTCTTTATGTGTCTTCTTTGTTAAGATCAAAGGAAAAAGATATCTCACCAAAAGTTTCAAGCCAAATGGAATACTGTATCTCTGAAAACATCCTCTGTATCTTAAGGATAATTGGTTGGTAATCACATGTTGGAAATATAAAGTTAGATGCCATATGGAAACTTTATATAATGACATGCACCATTTTCACGTCTACTATGTTTTCAGTCTTCTGCTTTATAAGGGATAACAGGCGAGTGCAGTCCTATATACGAATCATACACTATGTGATGCTTTTTAATAGAGTGTTCTACAAACCGTATCCAATATAATTCATAATAGACACATTTATTTAAAATACTTAAATGATTCTAATTTTCAAATAATTAAAAAATGACACTAGTTTTGTATTAGTATTAGTCTTATTGTGTGTCTTTGACATATGTTTACAATCTGTCTAAATATTCCAAGAGAAAAATACAAATCACTGACCCATAACTTAAACCAGTTTATCAAAAATTAGGCATTCCATATTTGTCTATTTTCACTTTCCACTTTACCATATAACCCAAGATGTGTGTTTACCCATAGTAAGCAGCAAGTATTGGGATGTTTTCCTATGATCTGAATAAGGAGCCTTCTGTTTCAGCTAATGTGTGTACAACGATCCTCAGCCAGGGGCAAGAGGAGGACTCACGCTGGGACACATTTCATTTAATATAATGGAAGCACAAGTTCATTTTCAACGTTGGGATCTGAACACAGTTACAAAATTATAATCATAATGTTACAAATTGTTAGGTTACACTAAAGCATTTACTGAATGAATGAATGGTATTACTAAAACTAATGGCTACTTTCCCTCTAGTTCACCTGGTAGAATAAAAAATTAACACATAGTAACAGCACATATTATAGCACACATCTTCATTCTATCTTTCCTCAACAAAATACCTAAGAATGTTAACTGAGAATCAAGCATCATATCAGTTCCAAGAGAAAGAACTAGAGTTAAACAAAAAAAAGATTTGAAATATTTTTACAGATGAATATACCATAAATTCTCCAAGTTCTACAGCATATAGGGCTAGCAGTTGTTTAGAAAATCAATAGCTTTTTAATAAGTCACACACAGCCATTAAAAGACAATATAGTTATGAGAATATATTAAAAAAAAGTAAAACTCAGGTTAAGAACAATTTTGACCTACTAATACAATTAATTATTTTAATACGGCTACATTCCCAAAAAAGAATATAAATCCAATGACTTAAATGGGAACCTTTAAAATAAACTAGGGGTACTTGCTATTTAAAGAAATACAATGGGAAAGACTCCTAATTAGCTACTTTATAGAATTCCATTTTTTCATGTACTAGCATTATACCATTGCAATTCAGATGAAAGTGGCAGGAAACATTGGACAGGTTCTAATTAAACTGGAAATAATTAAAAGACTTATAATTAATTTTTCATTTATAATTGTCTTTTCATAAGGATCTATATTTACTAAAATTTACCTGTAATAAGGATTCTCCTTCTTGTAAATTCAGACCTTCTCTGAATTTTGTTCTACAGTTATCCTGGACTCCATTTCTGTCAGCTGGAGAGCATTTTAATGCAACTATGAAGAAAAAAGAAAAACAATGATTCAGTAGGTAGTTTTTAAAATAACCAATTTCAAAGAACTATAATGAAAAATTTCTACACACCAAAGACAATTTGAATCATCAGTGTCATTTAGTATGATAATAACTAATAATCTTTTGCCAGTGGATGGTTTCCAAGTCAGCTGATAGATTCTTAAAAATAATTTTTGATGAACTATGATCTCTGGCATATAATGTAGGAGTTTCAAAGAATTACACAGCGTTTCTATAAACACTCCTCCCATTCCTATCCACTTATGTATGAGAATAAGGTTCCTCAGTGCAAAACTGGTAAAAATGACTTTAATATATACATCTAAATGCCAGGGGACAAGTGGTAGTGAGGAGAATCAGTCATGTGACTAAGATTTATTGTATTTTCATTAAGAATCCTCCCATCTAATGTGGTACATATGGTACATATACACAATGGAATATTACTCAGCTGTAAGAAAAAAACAGATCCTACCATTTGCAACAACATGGATGGAGCTAGAGGGTATTATGCTCAGTGAAATAAGCAAGGCGGAGAAAGACAAGTACCAAATGATTTCACTCATATGTGAATTGGAATATAAGAACAAAAGAAAACTGAAGGAACAAAACAGCAGCAGAAGCACAGAACCCAAGAATGGACTAACAGTTACCAAAGGGAAAGGGACTGGGGAGGACGGGTGGGAAGGGAGGGATAAGGGCGGGAAAAAAGAAAGGGGGCGTTACGATTAACATGTATAGTGTTGGGGGACAGGGCACAGGGAGGGCTGTGCAACACAGAGAAGTAGTGATTTTACAGCATCATACTATGTTGATGGACAGTGACTGTGAACGGGTATGTGGGGGAGACTTGATGAAGAGGGGAGCCTAGTAAACATAATGTCCTTCATGTAATTGTAGATTAATGATACCAAAATAAAACTAATAAAAAAAAAAGAATCCTCCCATCTAGTTTTAGGGTAAAAAAACTGTTAATATAATTATCTGGTTCATGTTAAATTTATAAATCAACACAAGGAGAATTAACATCTCTATGATGTTGAATCATTCTATCCAGGAATATGTGCATTTTTCCATTTGTTCAAATCTGTCACTATTGTCCCAGGAGTCCTTTTGAGTTGTCCACAAAAAAGCTTTGCACACTAATTTTTATGTTTATTCCTAGATAGTTCATGTGTAAAAGTCTTTCTCCTTTATTATTATCTTCTAACTATTTGTGGGTTACATATATGAAGCAAAGTGGAATGGCAAGGTGCATTGCTTAATATTCGAGGTAGCATGCTGTAATGCCTTCTTTCCTCTGTCCCTTGTTGTGTGTGTGTGTGTGGTCTGGAAGGCAACACAGCTGAACAGAAATAGTAACAGCTACCATTTACTTCTTTAGAATTTTTCCAAGCCCTCTCAAATTTATCTCATTTAAAAGTGTGTGAATACTGGTATGTGACAGAACTGAGTTCAAATCTTATTTGTGCCATGTACTTAGTGTGTGAGCTCTTTGAGCCCGTCTCCTAATAAGTGAAACAAACTAATGACCACATCATAGCGTTGTTGTGAAGAATAAGAATATATGTGAAATGCCTGGCATACAGCAGCTCAATAGTATCTCAATAAACAGTAGTTTTAATTATTAGCCATATTTCCCAGAGCTTATGGACTCTTTTGTTATAAAGCATAACCTTCCAGATACAATTACAATGGCTCTTCATCTTTCTTTTTTGACCTGTGATTTTAAAATAAGAGAAATCATTAAATGAAACCTTCGATATTCATTTTGAGACATATTTCACTAGGCTTTCATGTGTGAAAGATAATCTGGCTTGGTGAAAAACTGGAGACTGTATTACTAATAAACAGACTTTCTCTCAGTGTGAGTAAAGCATCACATATAAACCATTTTTTTTATGTTTGAAGCATATTTTCTGATAAATCACCAGTGCATCTGTCACACTAAAATCTTATGCCAAGTTCTTGCCTTTGCACAATGTGAAATATATCTCTTTGGAAGAAGAGGCCAAAAGCTTGGCCTCTGAACATAACAATTTCAAAAGGCCAGAGAACAGATTTCCTCAGGCCAAAAAATAGTTAGAGGTAAATTAGTTGATCTAACAGTTAATCCAGACCAAAGGAAATGCTTACACTTTTCTCATTGACAAGAGAGAGAAAAGCCTTTTCTCAGTGTCTATGAGATAGGGTTGTTACCACTCACTTTCTAATAGCCAAATCTGCTTGAATGAATTAAAACCCCACAATATCAAGATTAATTACACTCTGCCACTTTTCCAAAAGCTCCAGCATTAAGCACAGTTTAGAAGTTATACAAAATATTAATTAGCTTTGGTATTAAAAACAAAACCAAGACCCTTATTATGAAAGAAGCAAAATAATCCTAAAAATGGATAGATATTAGCAGTGTCAAATATAAAATGTCTACATTATCTTACTAGGAATGTTTTAAAATTAATTTTTGATTAATGGAAATGATGTCAGTTCCAACTAGAGTTATTGGGTCATTGAGAAACTGAGTAAAGTATAAAATAAACTATTCATCTCAGAGTAATTTACAGTTTGTTTTTGGCCTTGTATTAGGGATATTCAACAATATAATTAGATGTTAGACAGACTCTGCCTTTATGCTGGGAATATAGGTTATGGAAATAAAGAACTAGAGAAGAATGTCAAAAATATTAGCACCAGTATGGGATGTAATTAACATAGGAACTTGAATGAGAGAAAAAAATCAAAAGAACAAATTCTTTCTAAACAACACTTGCAATTCTAAACATTGGAAAGATAATACCTAGCAGTATGTATAACTACTGCTTAAGTAGGAAAATGACAAGTGCATATCAGGGAACGATCACTGGAGGGTTCTCCCTAAAAGAAACACACAGCTATTTCTGTAGCTCTCATGTTTAAGGTTAATAATCAGCAAAGTTTGGAAGTAAATACTGTGCAAAGTTGGTCCAGGAAGGGTATATTCCCTTCCCATTCTCATCTAAAAAAATATTATGACTTTTAAGAAAACTTATGTCCTGGCCTTTTGACCCAAACTATGTAATTTTTGCTCCTCCATGAAGTTTGTCCTCTATTTCTTGACCTCATACCTACCTCTCCCTTCTTAAAATTACTAGAGGCTATTATTAATGCTACTCTCTTTCACATATACTTTCTTGCCTTGATTAGAGAGCAAGAGAGGGAAGATGACATAGGGTACTGTCACCGGTGCTACTTCCTACCATACTAATTTTCTTAGTAATAGTATGTGATACTTAGCACACACTGCATGCCACCTAGTTTTCATGTACTATATCTTCTATAATCTTCAAAACAGTTCTATGAGCCTAGCATTATTGTCCTTTCAATATATTAGAAAATGGAGGCTTAGCGAGGGTAAGAAACCTTCCCAAGGTCACAGAGCTATAAGTGATAGAGACTAGATATAAACCCAGGTCACCTGACACTAAGTGTGGGAGCTCTTAATAACCACCTGACAGACTTAGCCCCTATGTTAACCGCCTTTAACCTTTAGTTTCCCTACATTTAAATGAAGACAATGATACCTCTGGAGACAAATTCTTGAAGGGCTAAAGTAACACAAGAGTACCTGGGTAGTGCCTGGGATGTAAAACTGACAGTCAAGGACAGTGCAGTGATGATGGGCTATATGCTGATTTACACACCCTCAAGCCACCGTGGAAAGCTGACACTAAAAGCGCACACCAGGGATAACTGAGTGTTTTCTCATCTCTAAATAGAGAGCATCAATGAGTACCTAACAGGACTCCTGCAATGGCTATCCAACATAGTTGTGAAAGTGCTTCAAAATTGTAAATTGTTACAAAAATTATATGTATGATCAGATGCATAAGACATCTTAAACATTACATCACTGAAATTAAGTACATGACAGTTCATACAATCAAAATGTATTATCTGAAAATAAGTGATGGAGCTGATTCTGTCACTTGGGAAGTATTTGCTATACTGAACAGACATTTGTTAAAATTCTCATCTCCAGGAACACTACAACTTTCAAAGTCTAAGGATCTAACTTTGAGTTTTCAGTGGAATATTAAAATAATAAATAGTCAAAATATTTCAACTATGTCCTCATTGAGAGATCGGTGAAGCAATCATACAAGTAAGAATTTAATCTAGTTGATGATGGAATCTCGAGTGAAAATGTATCATAGATTATTAGATTGTCATATTACCAACTGATTGAAGTCTTATTCCCATATGCTTTTAACCACATCCGTGTTTCCTAAAATGGCACTTTTCTTCCTCATACCTCTAAGCTCAGATTTCCATTTTTCCTCATAAGTTAAATATTTCCTCTTCAAACAAGAGAATGCTCTGAATGGTTCACAAGAGAAACTATATTTTGTTATATTGTTACCATAGTTTGCATTTAAACAGAAAGATGATATGATCAATGTCTTGCTAGGAAAAAAGTATTAGTCTTTTTAAACTCTAATTGTTGATATAAGTTCAATTAATTTTATTCTAATATTTGTCATCCCCTTTATTACTGTTGGTAGAAGTTTAAGTCCATTCCCATATTGATATAAGCATAAAATAGAGTGAAGCTAGCACTTACTATAAAATTCAACCAACTAAATAAACTTATATGAATTAGAAAGAGTGAAGTAATGTAGTATTTCTTAAATATAAAAAATAGGTATCTCCAATTTAGTCTGGTATGGATCAGTATTTACAAATAATTTCCAAATAACATCTTAAGTGTACCTAAAGCAAGTTTCTTCTACATATTTTGGGGTACAAGATAGATACCACTTCAAAAATATTTTTGATAGTGAAATATTCTTTTTGTAAAAGAAGAAAACTGAAATTAAAGAAAACTATGGCATATTCTAAGTTTCCAGGAGACAAAGATTATGTCTACACAGTTCAGTTTTTTCTGATATTGACTGATTATTTTTTCTAATTACAAATTTCTCATCACCAAGGCAGAATAAAA